ATGGCCACACAATTCCAGACTTGAAAGAAATCCCTATACACGAAATACGTCAAGAAGAACCTAACGCCCAATTTCAATACTAGGGCCCGCTCGCGAAGTTGAGGCCCTACTGGAATGATTTTGTACAGTACAAGACATTGGAAGATGGTGAGGAACGGATGAGAAGGAACCAAGAGAATGCCCGACATAAGGTATACCACCATGGCATGGGATCAGGTGGCTACACGGCTGCCATTCCCAACTGAGAAAAAATGGAAGCGGACATTCTTGCCAAGGGTATCACACCAGAATCACTCAATTGGTACAAACGCGCGAAGAATTGGTTTTTCGCTCATGAGGGAAGACTGGACCTAGAGACCAGGAAGCTAGTTCATGGCCCAAAACTCGAAAGAGCAACACAAAGATTTTCTTATGCTCTACAAGCTAAAGCTATTGGTGAATTCAGGCCCAATAGAGAAAAGAATGAACTGACGTATGCCATCGGGACTGCGAAACACAGTGGTCGAACGAGAGGTTTAGGACGGAATATTTCTTGGGAGCATAGTTTCTCTAACGACAGAGATACCTATAGAAGCCGGCAGAGAAGGAAGGATAAGGAAGCAGCGCGGATCAGCAGGTTGGAGGAATATATTCGTGAGTCACGGGAGTCATTGCTTCAAGCACAAGAGCGCAAAAAAGACATGAAAGCTAGAATACAGGATGAAATCATAAAGCAAGTGCAAATAACAATGAGTGCCCAAAGGCTGGCATCAGATCCAGGAATCAACATTAATATTAGCTCCCTGATCAGTTGAAAAGTAGCTGCACTTCCACAGAGTTGCCAAATTAAGATGACGCAATGCTACGTTTCCCCATGGATGACATCACTGCACCGTTTACATCATGTGAGCTATATATTCCAAAAGGGAATGCCACAATCATGGTGGCTCTCGGTGTTTTTTCTCCTCCAGATCCTACCAAGACACCAAGAATCCATGGAGCAATAATACCTCCTGGATATGTTAGCGTCTCAGTGGATAGAGTTAACAAAGGTTTTATTGATCTAGCTCTTGACATTCCTGGAGGAGATGGGAGAAGACTCTAGGAGAAGCAGAGAAGACATTCATACTATGGTGCAAGCGCTACATCATTATTCCCGGGATCTCTAGTCCACCGTCGTTTCCTCAACTGCCAAACAATAGGTGTGGACAAAAGTGAACAAAATAATTTTTTTACTAATTTTCTATTGACATACATGATTAATAATAACAATTTTTTATACCTAATTATTCTTTTTTATACTCACACAGCAGGGCCTCCGCCAACCTAAGTCCAATTATTTAATCTCCAGATCATCATAGTGTTCCGGGCAATCAGGTGGCAACGCCGCCACCGCCGCCACCTCCAAGGAGGTCTCCAATGCCTCCAAAGAGGTCTCCAACGGCTGCCCCGCCTCCCTTGATGACCAAGAAGCAGCCAACTCCTAAGAGGTCCGCCCCGCAAACGAAGTTGTTGGCCCACCAGTCAACAAAGAAGAAAGCCTCCTCTAATCTAGTTATTCCTAAAAACTGTCTTTCGAGAAAAGTGAAAAGGAATTAAATGCTGCAATATAAAAAGATGTGAACAGTTTCTTTGAAAAAGTAAGAAAGCAACGAGAAGCGAGGGAGAAACCGTACTTCTACCTACCTTCAGATCTTCTAAGAAAGAATGTGGATCAGAAAAAGCGGGAATCTCAAAAGACCTTTCAAAATTGGACTACGACCGCTCTTTCACCAAGTCATTTGAGGCGGCACAGAAAAAGACTAGAGCAGGGAAAGATGTTGCACAACTCGGACAACAATCGCAACAATCAGTCCCCTCTCTTATCATTCGTAATGAATATGGTTCAAACTTAGATTTACTAGACGTCGATTTTGAGGACCTGGCTCAGTTTTATAAGGATACCGGTTTGGACCTTGCCCAAGTGCTCGCTGAAGGACCATCTGCTCCGAAAGTGGATCCTTGGAAGAAATTTGAACATGGAAAGAGTCTATACAACCCTGAGGCCTTAGGTGAACTGGGTACGTAAATATACCTGCTAAACAAGTGGTACATGGCGAAGTGTGAACGGGGAGAGAACTTTGTTTCTGTCAGAGTTAGAAACCAACATTACTTCCGTAGCGATGACGTTATATATGTCGAGTTTTTAGAGTTACACCAACTATGCCACCTGGACTCTCTCGACAAAAGTCTCATTAGCTGCTATTGTTTGTAAGTGTGATTATTTTCTACTATTAAAGTGTATATATATAAAGCTACATGTATATATATAAATTATATATCCTCACACTATATTTTTATATATGTAGATATGAGATGACAGAACTCAGAAAAAGAAAGGATAATGATGTTGGTTTCGTTGATCCAAATGTCGTATTCAAACACCCTAATCCCCCGCCTCAATGGAAAGCTAAACTCGAGAAAAATCTTATGAGGTTCTTAGTGAACCAACAAAACAAGGACATACTCTTCCCCTACAACTTCAAGTGAGTGTTAAATAATTAATGTCGATCATATGGACATTTGTTCAATTATTTGCTTACTAGCTAAGCTATCTCCCATATATATATATACATACATATATATATATATGTATATATATATGTTGACTCTAATTAATGTCGATCATATTTGTGTATAAAAACATATGCAGCAATCATTGGATATTGATGGTTATCGATATGGCCAATAGTCGGTTGAGCATCTTAGACTCGTTAAGAAAAGAGCAAACAGAGTACCAAGACATGATAGATATTATCCCATGGTAATTTGGTCTTTTTAGCAACTATATATACCCCGATCTCTTAACGACAACAATTATTAAAGGCCAAATTAATTTTTTATTTTATTGGGCATAGTGTTTAGAAAAGTATCATTGAGGAACACCACATGAAACATTGCAAAGCACCATTAGATGTAATCGCACACAAAGTAAGTACTAGTTACATTTATATATATATATATATATATATATATATATAATTCAATTAACACCATGCATGCTTTAAATTCACCTGATCTTTTTTCTCATAAAAGTGGGTTCTGAGGCAAGAACAGGGGAACAACTGCTGCGGATACTATATTTACGAGTTTATCATGACGTACGCAAAAAGAACTCCTGAAGAGATCCTCAAAGTACGTTATATAAATATATTCATATATTCACAATTTCTTTTATTGCTCATATATATAAGCAATCACGTGACCAACATATATATATATATTAATACTTTTCTTTAATTTTTATTGAAGACTCTATGGTTGAAGAAAAAAGTCATACAACGTGACCAACTGAAAGCAATTCAAGAGACCATAGCAGGATTTCTTAATGACCAGGTCTTAAACCCCGCCGGCGAGTTCTACAATGACATGAATGAAACATGGAAGCCAAACCAGATGGAGTGAATTTGTTATCCCAAGGATATGATAGAATATACAATACAAGATTTATTTGTAATATATATATACATATTATATATACATAAAATAACGTACAATATATGTTTATGCATGTAATATATACGTTAGTTTTATACTTTAGTTTGTACAAAATGTTCGAACATTATAAGCGTGTAGAATACGTATATTATTAGCAGTGTAGAATGCGTATTCGAAAACCTATTTGAAAACCAAAACGAATCATCAATTGAAAATAGAAACAAAAAAAAAACATTTAGTTCGGTTGGTAATACCAATCGGGACTAAAAGGCCGGCCCACGTGGCCAGGCCGAGAGGCCTCTTTAGCCCCGGTTGGTATTACCAACTAGGACACCTTTAGTCCGGGTGAGAAACCGGGATCAAAAGGAGAGGCCCTTTAGTTCCTACATTCGTGCTCCTAGTTGGGAAACCGAGACTAAAAGAGTTTTCCCAACCGGAGTCCGATCCGTTCTGTACTAGTGATGTCAACAAGTAACGGCACTGCGAAGAACAATCTCAATTGCTTATATGACGTTCAGAAGGTTCCATCTCCTATCGTTTCTTTGGTCTTCACCCCTGTTAATCATAGCCAGATCGACATAATGCATGTAGCCAGACTATGCATTCTTCCTCAGGTTGTGGCTAGGGATGTATTGATCGACATGTAGCCATACAATGCATTCTTCCTCAGGTTGTGGTTAGTGATGTATTATGTTACCAAATGTTCCTGCTTCCATATGAGGATTTGGTGGAGGTTTTTTTTTTTTTGAAGCAAGGATTTGGTGGAGGTTGGTGGTAGCTAAATTTTGTAATTATTATTAATTAAGTTCTATTCTATTTGTAATTATGACATCAGCTGGTAAGGTATCACAATTTCGTTTTGGCCGTTGTTTGGTCAATATACACGATCGTAAATTTAAATTCGGAATAGATATTTTTTCACACAACAAACCAGTAAGTGAGATTTCTTCACGAACCAGCAACGAAACGAACCAACCAACGGGCTGCGGCTCAAAAGAACAAACCCGCGAGGGGCAGTTCGGACCTTTCCTGTCACCCGACCGCCAGCGCATATCCTCGGCGCACGGGGATAATGGCGAGCATTACCGGCCAGCGCAACCGTCCCCGCGTACACCGTCAGCATGGCCGCCGATGCGATAAAAAAACTCCAACTCAAATTCCTAATGCAGCCAGCCCAACCGATCTGCTCCGTCCATCGCCTCAGGCGACGGCTCTCCTCGCGCCACCTGGTGGGTCCCCCGTCCTCTCCAACTCCACCGCCTCCTTTCCCCCAATCTACCCGAGTGATTTTTATTTTATAATCACGACCAAAAACCTAAAAAAGAATTAGAAACGGAAGAAGAACAGCAGGCGAAGCATCGCCAGGTAATCAACTCGTCTTCCTGTCCTTCTTCCCCTGGCCTCACCCGCCGCGCCAAATTCGGCGCGATTCGGGCGGGATTAGTTGGAATTCCCCTGACAATCGGAGCATTTTTTGGACTTGGTAGATTGGTATATTGATCGATTGATTGATCGGTGGCGGAGGAAGGGGAGGAGGGCGGCAGATGGCGGCGTGCCGGGGCTTCTTCGAGTGCCTGCTCAGGCTGCTCAACTTCATCCTCACCGTCGCCGGCCTCGCCATGGTGGGCTACGGGATCTACCTGCTCGTCGAGTGGATGAAGATATCCAAGGACGGCAGCGGCGCGGGATTGACGGCGGAGGTGCTCGTCTCCGGCCGGCCGTTGTTGGGGGCTGTCGCTCTCGGTGACAGCTTCCTCGACCAGCTACCCAAAGCATGGTGAGATGGTTGCTTGCCCATGGACCCTTTTTGTTTCTGATGTATCAATGTTGGTTTCGTCCATGTAATCTCGCGACTGATTAGGATTTCGGATTGAGAGGAACTGTGAGGTTTGCTAGTAGGGGTGGCAATCACAATTGTGAATAGGACAAGTGTTACTTTAATTTTCCATGTAGTGGATGATTAAGAGGCGAATGTTTGAAATATGCAATGATATCATGATAGCCAAAACTCACAGTTGAAAATTGCAGTCTGATGAAGCATTTGTTACTCGCGTTTAGATTGATGAGCCTGTTAGGCAGGGGGTAAATTCTATGTGGATTGGAGTTGTTCCAAGTTTCCAGCTGGAACCATTGATTGAATATTCAGTTTGGCAATTATGGGTTTGTTCTTTGTTTGTTTTTACTGCCAAGACGATTGTGTTTGACATGGAATCGCCTCTGTTCCCTGCAGGTTTATCTATTTGTTCATTGGTGTTGGTGCTATCGTCTTCCTCGTGTCTCTGTTTGGCTGCATTGGAGCAGGGACAAGAAACACCTGCTGTTTGTGTTTCGTATCCTTTTTAATGTGCCTCTTAGACATCATTCTGTTGTCCTCTCTAAAGAAGATTCCATTTGTCATACACAAGACACTAAAAAGTACTTGGAATTATGCTCAACATTAAATCCAGACGGGCTATTAGTAGCTGAACCTGCTAAACGAACAAACTTTATTTCTGTACTACTCTGAAACGCCAATCTTATAGAACAGCAGTAGCAGAGGCAATAAGATTTTAACTATTTCTGCAGCCTTATTTCGTCAAAGGCAGTTATTTGACATTTTATAATTATATAAGATCACAGTATTAATTCATGCTTGTTTCCTTTGACTTCTAAAAAAGTATGCTTTCTTGGTCATATTGTTGATCCTTGCTGAAGCTGGAGCTGCTGCATTCATCTTCTTTGACCAAAGCTGGAAAGATGTGAGTATTCTGTTTGGTGCTTGTCTCGGGAACTAAACTACTACAATGTAACTTGTCTTATCATTTCCTTGAGTAGCTGTAGTTATCCATAGACTTCTTTTGCAGGTAATTCCAGTGGACAAGACACATAACTTTGATGTTATGTATGACTTTCTGAAGGAAAACTGGGAGATTGCAAGATGGGTTGCTCTTGGCGTTGTTGTTTTTGAGGTAGGAGATGAGGCTAATCTTACATCCTTTGATCTTAACTCAACTCAAAGGATGCTCATCTGATCCTTATTTTTCCAATGCTTGTATTTGCTTATTCAACTTCTACTCCATAAGTTGTCCTAATATTCTTGCAAATGCTTTCCAACTCTAAATCCCATCCTCGGCCCCCTTTCTAATTTCTCGTCACCCTGCACTGTATGTTTTGTTTAACCTGTTAGTAGAGTATGGAGGCTTCGGCTTTCTGTCTTGAGATGCATAGATGTTTGTCCAATGCAGATTTATTCTGCTGTTATGTTTGTTGTAATCAGCTGATAATGAACAACTCATAGGTAATTTAAAACTTAGCATGATAATTAATGGGCTGGCCCAGAAACTATTGACACCTTAATTCTGTATTGCCTTAGAAAGGATTTTGTCTTTTCTTTTAGCTGTCGCTTGTCAAGTATAGGCTGTATGTGGGTAGTCACACCGAAACTAAAACAAATGCTGACTGATTTGCAACAGGCAGTGCTCTTTCTGTTAGCTCTGGTTGTCAGGGCAATGAACAAACCTGCTGAGTATGACAGTGATGATGAAATTATTGCAATTGGCCGAAGCCCTACCATGCGGCAGCCATTGATCCATGCCCAAAATGTGCCTGCCACTGGTGTTCCTGTCCCAACACTCGATCAGCGTGCAAGTAGAAATGATGCCTGGAGCCAAAGGATGCGGGAGAAGGTATATTACTTGGTGGATTGTTTCGGCATTATGATTATGATATGCTTTGTTCTCCTCTCTTGACGACAGTTATATTTGCACCTAATGCAGTATGGTCTGGACACGAGCCAGTTCACGTACAACCCTTCAGACCCAAGCAGGTACCAGCAGAATGGCACGGCACAGGCTGAAGAAAGGAGTCGATGCACTATAATGTGAAGAATCCTTCATGAGGTCCTACGAGATAATGGTTTTCTTGAACAATCCTTCATGAGGTCCAACGAGATAATGGTTTTCTTGAACGGGATACCTCAGCTTGTGTAGTTTGGTGTTACGGTGTTGTTCAGACTTCATACCAGTGTGGAATAGAAGAATCCCGACCATATTGTTTGTCATGCTTGATATGTCTTATCTGCAAATGTTCTATGCACCTGTAATTTTATTGTGAATGAGGAACTGTTAGCCATTGACATCTTCTATTTTGTATTTTTTGGGGTTTGTTTCTTGTTGCCAATCCCCCTTTTTTCATGTAGCTCAGTTTAATCTAATATTTGGTTGTGCCGTGAAGTGAGATGAGACTGGTAGAATCTGTTTTGCTTTGTATATATTGGAAATGAGTTAGGTCTGGATTTCTTATGGCTTGTTAGGCTGCTCACAAGTACACCTCAATCCACGTGATTTGGGAGGAATTGCACCTCAAGGTCTCCCAAACCATATGGATTGAGGTGGATTTGTGTGCAGCTAAACAAAGCCCGCACAGGAGGGTAAAAGTTCCCCCAGGTTTTCAGCCAATGTGAAAAGACTAGTCTCGATGAAGGATTTGTCGTTTACACGCTTCAAGGCTCATTTCTGATCTGCAACATAATCTTCCTCCATGATGCTAGAAGTCCAATGATGGTTGTGAGATGCCTACTTTTACCGAATGCATTGATTCCGTGTTATTATTTGATTATGTTACCAAATCGTTGATTCTTTGTATGACTAGACACTACAATCCTAATTCATATACTAGTGATTGTTTGATTCAATTTCTTCCCACGAGCGGACCAGAGATTCCTAGACAATGGGATTTGACTTTGACTTTGATCGATTCAATTTCTTCCCACGAGCGGACCAGAGATCCCTGGACAATGGGATTTGGCTTTGACTTTGATCAGGGTGATTTTTTTTAAATCACATAGTACAATGTAGACGTCCACAACACGCACACTCATCAATATGAACACATGTACGCAAATCCTACCCTTATGAGCACATCCGAAGGACTGAGCCGACACATCTTGAGATTCACGAAGTCACCACAGACGTCTCACTGTCGATGAGGACGTCGTCTATCACTGGAAGCATAGCGCCGTTAAATCCTAGAATAAATCCAAAAAAATACGAGCACCCGTGCCAAGTCGAGGATTTGAACCTGTGTGGGCTAGTTCTACCACATGTAACCTAACCAACTGATCCATGATCAGTTCACTTGATCAAGGTGATTCGACAATAGCACATGTTTCAAAAAAAAAAAAAAAAGGTTTGGCAACAGCTCGGTGGTGGCGTAGGCCGCCCTGCTGTGTATGGTGCCCCTAAACCGTGGTGTGTTTGATCAGACCAAAGTCAAATTCTGGTGTCTAGGGATCTCTGGTCGGCTCATGGGAAGGAATTGAATCAAATATGAATTTGGAAGTCACACAAACAACCTGAGCTATCCTTGGACCTAAAAAGAGAGGTGCCCAGGTGGAGAACGGAAGAGTTCCCTAGAATGCGTTTTTTTAGAACAGCACATGATAAAGTAAAGCTCTGTGGAAAAAAGAATTGCAAATATCTCTTCCTCTCAAGAACACAAATGAAACAGTCTAGAGTGGTTCTGAGTCCATCCATGAGACTTGCCCGATTGAGCTGCCAGATCACTGGTGCTATACAAACTGTTGTGAAACGGTGTCTCCGGGCGAAGAGGCACCTGCACACCAACAGACACCTCGTCTACTGGTGATCTCATCTGTGGGACAGTTAGAATTAGTAGTAGATTAGCAGTTAATCCCGTCACCAAGGGGCCTATCCTTTGGTGAACGGTTGTCTCTTGGAGACACCCCCTCAAATGTATATAATCCATTTTACAGATCAATGAAAAGCGGTTGTTTTCAAATCTTGTTCATTTCATTTACTGTTTAACACGTTATCAGCAGGACTCTACTGGACAAGCAAGAGAACGACGACGTAGAGGCAACGAAGGCCTCTGAACCCACCGGTAAGCATGACGAAGATTGACTTACCATCGCATGTTGTCTGTCAACTGTTCTTCGCCCTTCGTCGCGTCGGTGGAGTTCGCTGTGGCCCAATCCGCCACCACGGCCACCATGGACAACGCCGCAGCGTCTTCGAGAGCCTTGGGCCTCGTGTTCACCGCGACAGTGCCCATGGTCATGGCCATGGTCCTTTCGGCCGCCTCTTCGACTCCGTTGTTCGTGGCTTCCGTTCCAATACGGTTCCTCGCCGCCGATGGATTCCTGTTCGTGGCCGCCATGCTTCTCCTCTGCTCGATCTTCGTCTGCAGAGCCAGTCACCATCTCCTCGCCTTGGCTTGGATGGTGCCGGCCCCAGCAACGCTGGGCCACCAGTCGTTGAAGCCACGGCGCCGTCCGTTGATGAAGTGGTTGCCAAGCCCGTCGCTGTCCCCGCGTACATACCCATGGAGCCGATGTTGCCAGCATCGGCACCGCCTCGCTACTGGTGTGACTTCTGCAAGGAGTACACGCTGATGCCACACACGCTGGAGTACAACTACCCGCTGCCATCGCCCACACTGGTCGATCCGACCCAAGTGGCGGCTGACAGTGGCATGCCTGGCGGCGTCCTCAATTCTTGGATCTTCAACACCGTCTCCACGCCGATGCTCCAGCAAGTGAAGAGCGAGGGCGAGGACATGGTGGCTGCCCCCGGCGTCGGCAACCTCTTCAACCCCGGCGGCACGCGCACGGCCAGGACCGCCGTCCCGCTGTACAGCTTCTTCGACACGGCCGGCCCCTCGGCTCCTCCTCCGGCAGCGACCCCGCCAACGGCTCCTCCGTCCGAGGCGCTGCCCCTTCCCCGGAACATCTTCGACGCTCGCACGGACATGGTGGCGACTCCAGCACTAGCGGCTGCTCCTCCTCCGCCCGCGACCCACGCGGAGGCTGCGGCCCGCATGAAGGAGCAGGCTCTCCCGGCGGCTCCTCCATCTTCTGCTGAGGGCAGCGCAACCACGCCCCCACACGATTCGTCGCCTCGGCCGCAGGGTGGCCGCCGTGGACAGGCGCCCAGGGATCCGCCGGGGGACTTGGAACCCGGCCGTGCTTAGCCTCCCGTCGGCGGAGGTGCTCAACAAGGCTAGCGGCGGTAGTGCCTTCTACTCCCCCGACGAGGGGGATTCCTCCTCGATCTAAAGATGGCGAGCACGGGCGGCGCAGTGGACAGGAGCGGTGAGGTTGTTTGCGGCGACGGCGGCGGTGGCCTCTGGAATCGGCAGCGGCGGCGAGCGGTTAGGGTTTTCAACCCTAACTGCCACCCGATCCCCCCCCCTCTTTTATGGGCTGCTGCGCGCGCGCAAATGGGCCGCCCCAATGGCCTACGCCCTGCCCTCCCTCCCTGCTGTCTACTGCGCACCCGACTGGGCCAGGCTGGGCCCAAACGAAAATGGATTGTTCCTGATTCTTTTGGCCCAACTGACTCCTTCTGTTTTATTTATTTAATTTCAGCATTAATTCGTATAAGACTCTGTTAGTATCTTATAATTATGTGCTGTAAAATTAAGTACCCTTGTGTTTAGTCGCTGACTTTAACTATAGTTGTACTTGTGATATTTTATCATTGTAAAATATCCATTTATGATATTATTCAAAGTATTTGTCCCTGTATGTATGACAAATCCAATAAATAATATCCTTGTTATTACGACCATGATCTTGCAAATTATTTATTCATTAATCACTTTTGCAATCGATCATTTTATTTAATATTTTCTCATCAATTGTATAACGCGCATGTTCCCTATTTGTTTGTTGGCCATACACAAGGTAGCACCACTGTTGCTACTGCGATATCTACACTAAGTAAACACTTAGTGACTATCATCAACGTGCGTACCCAACATGACAAATGAGAACATTTGGTCTACATCTTTTCATAAAGATGAGTACCATTAATTCGCATTTCTATTGGCCATACACAAGGTAGCACCATAGTTGCTACTGCGGGATCTACACTAAGTAAACACTTAGTGACTATTCTCAGCGTGCGTACCCAATTCGTTTACGAATTGACTAAGGTCTACATCATTCTTGATGACTACCTTAATACGTGTTTATACAACTTGCATAATTACTTGGCATCTACTGTTAATACAGACTATGCCCAATTTGAGGTCTACACTTTTATGGTGACTACCTCTATTATTTTATTATGCACATGAGATCTTTACACCATTAATAATACAAGATTTATCTTGTCTCTATTTTGCATCCCATAATTACAACACACCACAATATTTTAATAACTTAAAATGTTTTGATGGTTTGCCTCGTGTAGGATCAATGACCGTCAAAGAGTTTGATTTGCTTGCTCTAGACGGCCACAATTATCCCACATGGGCTGTGGACGTAAAGGTTGGTCTTACGTCCCGTGGACTTTATCGAGCTGTGTTACCACCCGAAGAGGGTGTTGCACCTCTGGATGATCAACATGTATACACGGCCCAATATCTCATTAGGAGCCATATTCATCCTGATCTTAAGGCTGAATACTTGTTGGAAGAGAACCCACGAAATCTATGGAATTCTCTTAAGCAACGCTATGAACAACAAAAGGCACTTGTCCTGTCTGCGGCCAACTATGAGTGGATGCAACTTCGCTTACAGGATTTCAAAACTATGAGTGATTACAACTATGCTGTTCATAGGATTTGCTCAAAGTTGCAATTCTGTGAGAAAGAACCTACAGATGCGGATAAAATAGAAAAGACTCTATCTACTATGCTTCCCTTTGAAAGGATTCTTCAACAACAATACCGTGAAAGGCGTTTCCAGGTTTATTCTGAGCTTATACAAACTTTACTTGAGGCCAAAAAACATTCTAAACTTATGGTTTGGAATAATCAGCAGCGCCCCATAAGGTCTGCTCCATTGCCTGAAGTACATGCTTACACTCAGAATAAACCCAAATTTGATGTTGGACTTTCTAAGACCCATCCACAGGGA